GATTAACTCCCACCGAATGAGGTGGTGTAGGATTCTTAATGTAATGACAGTACTATCAATTAGTAAATAAAGTCTCGTATTTTATGCTTATTTGCAGTAAAAAAAAATAATAATAATCTTATAGAAAACCTTCTTAAAATTTGTAGGATATATTTGTAAAACTATAAAAGAGAAAAAACCATTTATTGTTTTAAAAACCTGTTTATATACTATTGTAATTTTCAAAAAAGTTCATAATCAGTTTATACTTCTTATACCTTCTTGTTAATCTTTATTTAATCTGAAAAATCTTTAACTAAGATTAACTATTTGTTTTTTGTTTTAAGTAAAGTATAACTATTATTATTTATTATAGTCAAATAAAGTTTAATTGCAAAATATTCAATTTTATAAACAAAAAATTGAATATTATGTTACAAGTAAAGTTTGTAAAAAAGAGTAGAGAATATTAATCTTTATTTATATCTATAATTATATATTTTATCATATTAATTATGGATTTATAGTGTAGTGGTTAACACTCCACAGGTCAAATTACAAGATACCAGTTCAACCCTATATAAGAGCAGTTGAATAGAATTAATATGATATCTGATGCCATAACCTATATAAGCATTGTTTCTTATGAGAAGCCATTTTACACATTGATCCAGTGAGTATCGAGATTGTGATTTCCAGAAAAGATGTTGTGGCGTGACGATTGTCCAGTTGGTGTTATGATGATCACTGGAAGTTGGAAAATATATGAGATGTCCACTTTCAATAAAGATGACTTGGTAATCGTTTCTCTGTGATATCTGGTGTTTCTTTCTGCAGTAATAAATCACTCCGACAATTACCTATTTCGAAAAGGCAGCTAAAACAGTGTAAGTACTAATGGCTAAAACAATCTATGGGTTGTAAATCTATGAGATAAGTTTCTTGAATGTTTTTGAGTAGTTCTAGGAAGGTGGAAATTAAATGGTACACCTATCTGCAGGTAGTCAGGTTTAAAAAGATTTTCTTTGCAGTGATTCTATTTGTCAAAAATAGGTACTATCCCAGTTTCCTATATTCAAACTTCCTCTTAAAATTTCCACAATACTAAATAAAACATAACAATATAATAATAATACTAATAGGGCTTTGGCATGTTAGCCTTAGCATAACTTTTTTGAAGTGATGTTGATAGCAACAAGCCGATATGGAGTAAAAATCGATATAGTCTAGTGATGCATAAAATTGTTCATAGATAGTAATTCTTATAATATATAAAATACACATATGAATAAAATAATAAAGTACGCTAGACAAGGCCCAACTGATTAAACACAAAAAAAAAAATTTTTTTACTATATTAATATTGTTGTATTTTATTAATTTATATTTTCTAACTATATAAGAAATATTACTTAACTTTTTATTATTAAGAAATTAATATAAACTCTAATAATACTTTTGGTTTGCTATCCAAAGTAACTTGTTTGAAGATAAAAAAAGCTGTTTTTGACCTTATAGCTTTTTTATTAGCAAAAATTATATTTTTAAAAAAAGTATAATATAATATTATTAATTAATATATTTGTAAATTCTTTAATAAAAATTTTTAAGAAATGTATAGTAAACAGAAAAAGTTTTTTTTTTGTTTAATAAAATAATATAAATTGACAAAATTCAAAAAATAAATATATATTATAAAAAAATTTAATAAAAAATATAAAAAAAATATAAAAAATTTAACAAAATAATAAAATTATTAATTTTATCAAATAAAACATTAAGTTTTTAACAAAATAAAATTAATAAATTTTTAAAAAAACTCATTTTCATTTACAACTATTTTATTAAAAAACTTTTTTTAAAAAAAATTTTTACTTCTTTTATTTTTATATTTCTTTTTCTTAACTTAAAAACTTGTAACAAATTGAGTCTGAGTATATTTTAATTATATAGACTCCTTTAATTGACTGATTGTTTAAAAAAGTATAAGCTAACTAATTTTTTGTATATGGCAGAAATCTAAAATAGAAGAAAAGTTTTGACTAGACTTTTTTTTTGCAAAGCTTTATATATATCTAAATATTATAAACAAAAAAATATTTAATTTTTTTTTTTTTGTTATATTCTTTTTTTCCAATTTTCTTTTATTGCTAATAAACTAATTTTTCTTTTTCTTGGAGATTTTTTTATCTGTCATATATCTCTAATTCTTTTAAATAATTATAAATCCTATCTAAATAAATCTAGGCACATTGCTTTTAATTGAAATACTTTTTTATTAGAATATAAGTTTTAATAATAAAACAATTTCTTCAACTCAAAAGGTTTTATATAGAAAAGATCAAATTGATATATCTTAATATAAAAGATTAGAAAAATAAAAAAATAATAGCTTCAAGCTGCAAAAGTATTTGAAATACTATTTATATAAAAAAACTTATAAAAACTACATAAGATATTAGTAAACAGTCAGAGTATTTTACTTCAAAAGATATTTCAAGCTAATAACTAATTTTCTATCAATTCTAATTCAAGAAGATTAATAAAAAGATCACCTTTTTGTCTTACCAATTGCTTTCAAATTTGTTATAAAAAACTGTAATCAGCTTACTTTTGTTAATTAATAGATATAGATTAATTGTATTATATAAATAGATCCATAACCTACTTATTAAATCTAGTATATATTATTTTTACCTATTGTTCTTATATGAAATGAATTAATAGATTAGATAGTTTAAACTAATAATAAAACTTTTACTCTCTAGATAGATTTCCCTAAGTATATATAATCTACTTTAAGAGTAATTAACATATTGTAAGCATAAAAGTAGATAGGCTAGCATTTAATCATTACATAGTAATAAAGAATAGTTGATATATCTTTTGTATATTTTTAATAAAACTCATATTAGATACCATTCTATTGTAAAAAAAAAAAGATTAATAAATTTCAAAAAAAAAAATATAAACAAGTTATATGTTAAATTATTTGGGTAATTATTTTTGAAGGCAACAAAAATGCTAGATATGATTTTTTCGAATTCAACATTAAACAATACATATATGATATAAATTTTAGGATCACGCCAGAAAATTTTCGGTCCGCCTTCAAAAATAATTACCCATTTATAAAATTATATATCAATTTATAATCCAAGTTATACTATGTAAACTTGATTGATTTGTCAAATTATTTATTTTTTAATCAAATAATTGGTAAGTAGCATTATGTTAAATAAATTAATTTTAACTGGTAAATGTATTTAAAAAGAATTTTTTGTATATTAAAATAATGATAACTAATTTTTATTTATTATAAATTAATTAAATCAATATTTTACAAAAATTAATAAGTAAATTTGTTCTTTATATTTTTATTAATATATATTTAAATTTTTATTTTATTTCATCAATTGCTTATTAAATTACAAATAAAATATAAATTAAAATTTTGTTCAAAGACTTTTTAATCAAACCTTATATGCTGTATATTTATTACTAAAATGCCTAAATTGAAATATTTGAGAAACAAGAAACAATATAAACTTTAATTAATACAGAAAAAATACAAAATAAATTTACAAGTCCGTGCCTTTATGATTAAGCAACAGCAAGATATAGATACTTGACAAAAGTAGGAAGTAAGGCAGACTGTTATTGTAAGTCCTTATAAAAGACATGGACGTGTGTAGGAAAAAGATATTCATTAACAGTCAACCTCTGTGACAGCAAATTAAAAGTTCTCTCGTACGGTTAAATTAAATTTAAAATTTCATTTTGATTTTATTTGCAAGCCAGGCAACAATAAGATATTGTTCTGTTAATCGACCTGAACCCGTAATTATATATGCATCAGCTTGATGAATCCAACTAAAATTTCACATTATACTTATATTTATTCAATGGATGGGCCAATACAAACAGAATATAAATTTTAGACAAGAGTGTCATATGGAATAGGTGTGATTGTTGTTGGAGGGTTCTTCTTGGTGGAAACAAAGTGGGAAGTTCGAGGTTGTTCGGGTTGCCTTTTGAGGTTTACCTTTTCTGTTATATATAATTTGATATATTAACTTGGATCTATTTTTGCGTCTTTTGCGTCAAAAGCAAATAAAGTAGTACAAACCCTTCTTGTCTCTCGCCTCTTTCTTCTTGATTGCATTTTCTTTTACGCGGCGTAAAAAATCATCTCTACATTTTGAATGCTTGATATGTTCAATGCGAACATTGATTCGCTTTTCAATGTAACGATTACCAACACGTTTGTTGATAATAACTCCGACAGCAGATTTCGTTACATTGTAGACAATCCCGGTACGACTTTAATAGGAATTAAAGAAATTGTTAAATATTCTGAAAATATGCGGAATTTAATTCGATACAAAAATGAAAGTCCTCTTTATTTTACCCATGGTAGAACTTGTGCGGCATACCCTTTTGGACAGCACCGTTGGCTTTAATGTCAACGATATCGCCGACCTTGTATGTTTTGAGGTAGGTTGAAAGTTTTATGTATCCATGCTCACGGAACTTACGAGAGAACATATAGCGCGTACGAGCGCGGGTACCGTAAGAGTGCGGCATTTTTTACTCTGAAAAGGTTGTCAGATTAATGATCAAGAAATCCTTAATCTCTTATTTAAGTTCAAAGAATCATTCTATTTCGTCGTATGCATTTCTATTGACCATACTTTGATTTAGACCGAAGGAAAATCAACCTACTTCGTTTTGTTCAGCGGAAAAAGAGAATGATCGTTAGCCTCATGTTTTAGTTAAAATATTTTCTGATTCCACATCTATAGATTATGATTGGATATGCAGTAATGTTATTTTTTTTTCTATCGACAGTTAACATATCAATAAAAATTTTATTAATGTATATACTGTATATATAGAGAATATATATATTTTAAATAATTTAAATAAGAACATTAATGTAAGTTCTCTTATAATTAAAAAAAAAACTTTTTTTTTGCTTTATTTTTATAAAAAAAAAATTTTTTTTTGTTTTATTAATTTATTTTTTTTTATTTATTGGAATTATTATTTTTTACATGTTGGAAATTAAATTTTCCAGTTCAAAAAAAAAAATTTTTTTTTATCACGTGTATAGTGCATAGGACAATTTACAATATAAATAAAATTTTTTACAAAGATGTGATCTTCCTCTTTCACTACGGTTGATTTTCTTTGATTCCATCGAGAACCGTTCATAATGCCCGGAGCTGCAAGGAATTGTATTCTATGAAACTTTCCAAACGATTTAATATTTCTGTTGGGTACTCTATTTCATTTGTGAATTCGGAGATTGCTATACAGTTTTTCTGTACCGAAGAATTTATTGAATTAGTAAGAACTATTATAACTAAAAAGGAAGAACGTAACTAAGTTGTATCCTTTACTTACTGTTAATACGGATAGCCTTTTAAGTTGCAGTAAGATAGTAATTATTTTTTAGTTTAAAAAATATTTTTTTAATGGAAAGTTTCAAGAAGAGATATACAGCAATCTCTCTGGACACGAACGAACATAGAGTTTGATCCATAACTCATCCCGTTTTTTTGAACGGGTAATAAATGTGGATTATTTGATTGCTGGGTACACCAAAAGGAAAACTGTTCTCGCGAATGATCTTTTTTGATATCTTTTTTGCCTACATTTGCAATCGATATCGAAAAGATCACGTGGATCGGTTTTACCACAATTGTTTTTTATAAATAGGCTCGAAAACTTACAAGGTTCCACGTCGTCCCTTTGAAAAGGAACGAATTGAACAAGAACTTAAGCTGATTGGTACTTACGGTCTTCGAAACAAGCGTGAGATTTGGCGTGTAGCTTACACGCTTTCAAACATTCGTCGTGCTGCTCGTGAACTACTCACGTTAGATGATAAGGACCCTCGTCGACTTTTCGAAGGAAATGCCTTGATTAGAAGGCTGGTCAGAATTGGGGTGTTGGATGAGACTAAAATGAAACTTGACTACGTTTTGGCTTTGAAGATTGAAGACTTCTTGGAACGAAGATTGCAAACTCAGGTTTTTAAACTTGGTTTGGCAAAATCTATTCATCATGCCCGTGTTCTCATTCGACAGCGCCATATTCGGTAATTATCCAAACAATTTTTTGGAGAATATTCGCTTATAAAAAATAAATATTTTCATTAATTTTATTTGATATGAACATATATAGTGTCGGAAAACAAATTGTCAATATTCCAAGTTTTATTGTTCGGTTTGTTGTTAAATCTTTGATCTTAAATGTTAACGGGTGTCAAATTTATTTCATTACCGTTTTTACTAATTCTTTTGTTTCATAGTCTCGAGTCTCAAAAGCATATTGACTTTGCCTTAACCTCGCCATTCGGTAAATTCTAACATAATTAACATAATTTCATAATTTGACGATTCATTTTTATTAAACTTGTTTATTTTTCATCTTACAGGTGGTGGTCGTCCCGGTCGCGTAAAGAGAAAACGTCAACGATCGGCTACCAAAAGTCAGTATCTATATAAAGATTGTCATTTCCTTTGTGCTATTATGTCGTGTTTTCTAACTTATTTATTAAACGAATAATAAATAGATGACGATGAAGAAGACGACGAATAGACAAAAAAATGTAATAGTAAATAAACAAGGATGAGCGTTGGGGCTGTGGATAAAAAATGTGCCGGTCAAATGAAAAGACGGTCATGTCATCATCATGTTTTCGCAATTCCCTAATTCTTAGTTCTAAAGGATTGTTGATTTTTTTATTAAATGCTCTATTAATTATTAAAGAACGTGTCTAGTCGAGTAATAATTTATGACTCCATTGCATCGGTATTTTCCACTCCCTCCATTTCTTCATCTGCGGGAATTTCATTAAACATATATTGCTCCTGGAATTTTCGCAAATAATTTACTGATCTCTTTTCGTCCAAAAAAAGTTCATACACGCGTTTAATATCACTAACATCAACGACATTGGCCTGCGATGAAGAGAAGTTGATTTTTTTAAATGTTATACACCACGTTGAAACTTAAATGTGTATTTTGCAATTACCTTTCGTTTTTTTGAGACGAGATGCGCTGTAGTGATCAAATGAATTGCGTATCTTAATGACGTTTCAATTCCAATTTTTGTCAGAACATTTCGGGCTTCTTCAGTGATTGCGACGTCCTCTTCTTGGCATCTATAAAAATTTTTTCATCCATTTAATCGGTGATGATAAAAAACTTACCATGAATAACATACCTAATGACCAAAATCTCTTTTATCGAGTCCTCATCATATGGAGATGTGCTTATGATCAGCAGTCGATCCAACAAATCGATCGGAATCCCATGAGGACTTTTGTACTTCGTACCCCTAATCCGTGTGATGCCTCTGTTTGACGCCATGATGACTACTGGTGCCCTCTCATCTTCGAGGGCGCGATTTAGAAATGAAAAACATTCAATGTCAAGCATATGAACTTCGTCAATAAAAAGAACCTGTATTGTTAAATAAACATGGTTAAATAAAGCGATCTTAATAGTTGTGAAGATTATGATCGACATTCTTACAGTAACTTACACCAGGTACAATTTCAGCCTTTCCTTCCTCTCTCCATTCGGTAACTTTTGTGTTTATTTGATCTCGAATTTCAGATTTAATCTCACCGGTGTCACCTACATATGTTAAGTCGATCGAGATCAAAATCATTCATCTGCAAAACGAGCGAATTAGCCTTGCTGATCCTACCGGAAAACAAAGCCAAAAACCCTTGGGTTCGACTATTAATCACATCAATTTCGTGTAACGAAACAGTATGAACAACCTCCCGGCGCTTTTGCAGTTCGCCTTCAGGACATTGTACAAATTTTGTCTACATTGATTTTGGATGACAATTAGCACATAATAACTAAATTTAAAGAACAAACCTTGAACTTACATCTGCTCCCATGGCATCATAATCCCTGGCACGCGTAAACGAGCGGCCTAATTTAGATATTTTTCCAGATGCCTTGTCAATTGTGATGACGTCACTGGTGATGTTGGCGAGAGTTTAAGTCATTGAACAGCATACCTAATTGAATAATCGTGTCATAACCTACCCTGCTAAAACCTTTTCTTTGTTTAAAGCGTCTATCATTTTGTGACCCAATTCATATACGGTTTCCATATCCGTTGTCTTTAAAGTAAGCTTTCCAGTTTTTGTGCCCTTTTTTTCAAGAGTTGTGAAAATACTTTTAAAAAAATTCGGTTAAAGATCGATATGGGATTAAATACTCACGCCCGTGATCGAACGATCGATTTGTATCTCAACCACCTCTCCTTCAATAATCTCCGCTTCTTCTTTGATGCACACGCCAATTGATCGTCGGAAAGCCTGAGTGAGGGCCTCCGTTTTGGACATCTCAAGAGAGAAAATTTCTGATGCTGCCAACATCGTAAATGGTATATTTTTTCCCAATGCCTGTGCCATTCCTTTGCAAAGTAAAATTCCCACTCAGGATCTGTGTCGTGCAATAGAGGCAAACATCTAAATTGATTAGTGTACTTACCCATCGCAATAGCAGTTTTTCCCGTGCCTGGTGGGCCAGCCATAAGAATAGCCCGTCCTGCGATTTTGCCTTCTTTAATCATTTGCAAGATTACGCCCGCAGCCTTGCGTGCTTTGATCTGACCAACCATTCCTTGCGCAACCTGGCGAGGTTCCAAAGATTCATCGAGACCAAGGCCTCTAATATGCGAGTGTGCACCTAGGCGGTGTAAAATGCAATATGTGAATGAAATTTCAAACTTACGCCAAATGCTTGTCACTTCAAGGTTGAAAATTATACCAATGCGTTCCATTTTCGTAATTTCCTTGATTTCCGGAGTTGTCGTAATTGTACCCGCCTATCATTTTAATTTTACTTAGGAATTTGAAGTTCTTTATGGCTCTTAGTATCATAAGGGAAACGTGACTTTACCATTTTATTGATTTTATTGTAAGAAACAAGATTGTCCCGTAAGTTAAGTATCCCTCAAGAACAAAAGCGAAAATACGTATCGCAACGCGAAAAGATCAATATACGTAATTTGATTGGCTGAGGTCTAATAAATAATTTGCAGTGATTTTTTCGTGAAGCAATATAGATAATATGGAAGTTAACAAAAACGGTGGGTTTTACATGATCGTAAGTAACTACGCCTTCCACAAGCTTTCAACAGATTTGACGTAGGTGACATTAAACTTTTATGACTCTCTTTATAGGAAGAACTCGATATTCCCTTCGAAGAAGAAATACTGCGAAATCCATACACATTGAAGTCGTGGTTTAGATACATCGATCATAAATCTGGACAGCCAATACCGCAACAAATTTTTGTGTACGAACGAGCTCTGAAAGAGCTACCAGGTTCATATAAATTATGGAAGAAGTATTTAGATCTTCGAAGGGATCAAGTTAAAGATTTGAACCCAGTTAGATATGAAAAAGAGTATTTGAAAGTTAATAATTGCTTCGAAAGGGCGCTGGTGCTATTACACAAGGTACCTCATAAAATTTATTCACTTTATAAATATTCAGATGTTGATAATTCATACAAGAACTTACGTTTTTAGATGCCTCGGATATGGATAGATTATTGTAATTTCTTGATGATACAATGTAGAATCACCAAAAGTCGTAGGACATTTGATCGTGCGTTGAAGGCGCTACCTATCACACAACACCCTAGAATATGGGAAATTTATCTAAAATTTGCGAAAGAAATAGGTGGGGAGACAGCAATTCGATTACATCGTCGGTACCTCAAGGTGAGATATCTAATTTGAACGCCTATTATTATTGTAAGGATTTCAATTACTACGTGTTGGAACTTTTATATCGGGAGCCATCTCAAAACATCAAGATCCGAGTGAATCCATAATGTTGTCCATCGAGAAAAATCACAATCATGACTTTTCCCTGGAATTAAACGACTGACATTAGTTCTGTGGCGATGGTCCCAAATGTAATAATAATAGATTAAATTTTTCCGGCAAGAAACATTCGCTCACAATTTAGCATGAATCTCATCTTAGTTGGAACCAGAACGCGTGGAAGAATATGTCGACTTGTTACTTTCGTTAGGTCGTTATGACGAAGCTGCAAAGCAACTCGCTCAAGTTGTTAATGATGACCGATTTCAATCGGTGCACGGCAAATCTAATTACCAATTGTGGATGGAACTATGTGATTTGGTTTGCGAGCACCCTCATGAAATTAAAAGTTTGAAAGTAGAACCAATCATAAGAAGCGGTATTAGAAGGTTTACAGATCAAGTGGGCAAATTGTGGAATTCACTGGCAAGCTACTGGATAAAGCTACAACATTTTGAAAAGGCATGTATTTTTACCAAAACGATATATGTTATTATACGTATTCATTCGATCATTCATTTGAAATTGTTTGATTTAATATATACAGGCAAGGGATGTTTTCGAAGAGGGTATAAGTACCGTTATGACTGTTAGAGATTTCACACAAATATTTGATACGTACGCGAAGGCGGAAGAAACTTTTATTGAGAAAAAGATGGAAGAAGCTGCAGAACGTGCGGAAAAAGGGATAGAAGACCCAAGGGAGGATTTGGATTTGGATCTAAGGCTATTGCGTTTTGAACAATTAATGGACCGTAGACCTTTTTTAGTTAACGACGTTTTACTAAGGCAGAACCCAAATAATGTGCATGAATGGGAGAAAAGAGTGACTTTGTGGAAAGACAATCACGAAAAGGTTAGTATTTTTAGTGACTAGTATATAGGCGTATTGGTAGAAATATTATTTAAATTTGTATATTCCGATATTAGATTGTTGAAACATATTCGATTGCGATGCGAACAATTGATCCAAAAAAGGCTACCGGCAAATTTCACGAACTATGGGTTAATTTCGCAAAATACTATGAGCAAGGTGGTGATTTAGAAAACGCACGGACAATATTTGAAAAGGCTACTCACGTCAATTTCAAGGATGTTAAAGACTTAGCTGCTTTGTGGTGTGAATATGCAGAAATGGAATTAAGACACGAGTAGGCACTAATGTTATAACGTTATGCAGCTATTAAGTAATAAAAATTCATTAATCACATTAATATTCCATACCGTAATTTAGGTTTTATGATAAAGCCATTGAGGTGATGAGCCGTGCAACGGTTCCAACAGGAAATCCGAATGTCGACTATCGTGATGAGGTATAATAATACTATTACCTTTTTTGATTATTTTTTTAAAATTTTCTAAATAATGACTTTTTTTTTTTGTTTTCAGAGCATACCAGTGCAACAGCGTGTCTTTAAGTCTATCAAACTATGGTCCTTTTATGTCGACTTGGAAGAGAGCATCGGTACCATAGAGTCAACAAGGGCCGTATATGATAGAGTACTTGAACTAAAAATAGCGACCCCGCAGATTATTATTAATTATGCTAACTTTTTGGAAGAAAATAAATATTTTGAAGAAAGTTTTAAAGTAATCACGACTTTAATACGACTATTCATTATACGTTGAGCAACGATTTTTTCAGATATTAATCTTACCCTCTACTTTTAGGTTTACGAACGCGGTGTTGAATTATTTAATTATCCAATAGCATTTGAGATTTGGAACGTATACCTAACAAAGTTTATAACTCGATATGTGAATATAATAAAAATTTAACTTTTTTTTTCATTCGCACTTACCCTACCAACGGATCTAACGTATTGTTATTTTTTTTTATAGGCTGGCGCGAAATTGGAGCGAGCACGGGATCTATTTGAACAAGCACTTGAAAAGTGTCCTCCGAAATATGCGAAATCGCTATATCTTATGTATGGTAAACTAGAAGAGGATTATGGATTAGCGCGACATGCAATGCGTATTTATGATCGTGCAACAAGGGCAGTGTCTGATGAAGACAGATTCGAGGTAGAAGTTTATAGCAATTATTTTATCTGTGAAATTATGATAATTTTTGTTGAATCTAATATTATTTTATATAGATGTTTAATATTTATATTGCAAAAGCGAGCGCGAACTTTGGTGTCACTTATACTCGCGAAATTTATGAGCGCGCAATTGAAGTTTTACCTGACAAAGAAGCAAAAGATATGAGCTTAAAATATGCTGAATTGGAACGCAAACTAGGAGAAATTGATCGAGCGAGAGCCTTATATGCTCACGCATCGCAATTCTGTGATCCAAGGGTTTGTAATTGATGGTTAATACGTATTTGTTATTTACCTTTTTTGAATTAATGTTCAACTGAATTATAGACAGTACCTTCCTTCTGGCAAATATGGCATGAATTCGAGGTCAAACACGGAAATGAAGATACTTTTAAGGAAATGCTTAGAATCAAGCGAAGTGTTCAAGCCCAATATAATACGGAGGTTTGTTGGTAATTTTGAATTCCGAGCTTAAAAATTTATAATTGATTGTTCGCATTTTTTTTAAATCGTAGGTTAACTTCATATCTGCACAAATACTCGCCACGCGTCAAACAAATCAAAACGCTCAAGCATCAACAAACACTCAGAATGCGATGCAGTTGGCTGAACAAGAAACTATGCAAAATAAAGGAACCGCTACCAAATCCATGACCTTTATCCCGTATGAATCAATTTTTTTTATAGTATAAATTCATTTCATTATGCAATTTTTATTGGTAATTATAATAATAATCTTAATTTGGTTAGGGCTTCGACACAAGCAAGCGAAGATACATCATCCATTCAGAAACCCACAAATCCTGATGAAATTACTATGGATGATGATGATTTATAAATATATTTATCATTGAATGAGTTCATTTCGACCGTCTAAAGGATTGAAGATGTATATGGAATACTAGTAAAGATTAGTCTAACACAACATAAAATTATACCAACTGGAGATGCTGATATAGGTTTATTGAAATTAAAGGAAATAGCTATACTGGTACAATGTAAAAATTACAATGTACCTGTAAATATAGAAGTTAGATCATTTATAGAAGCATTAAAAAAAATTTAAACATATAGGAAATGTAATAGGAATAATTGTGAAGACTAATGTTGCAAAAATGAAATAAAGTTATTAATATATTATTCATACTAAAAACAAAAAAATATTAATTTATAAAATGAAAAAAATAAAATAGTAATTATATTAAAGTACAAAATTAACAAGTAGATTTATGGGTCTATAATACAGTAGTTAGTGTTTTAGATTTAAATTACAAGGTCTCAAGTTTAAATCTGTTAAGAAATAATTTGCAATGTTTGTTTAACATTATTATTATTATTTTAATAATACTGGTTTGAAAATCTATTGATATAATCTGAATTTACAGTAACATTTATATTAATTATTATTTTGATTAAATAAGTTTATAAGAATTTTGATAAGCATATATAATTTTGACTATATAATACAATTACTTGAAAGAAAAAATTTGGTAATTAACCAATTTACTTACTAATTACAAGTACTAAGCTTAAATAAGTAAAAATCATATTTAAAAAAATAAGCAAATCAAAATATTAACAAGATATATAAAAGTATAATCAATAAATAAAAATAAACTTGTTATTAAATTTTAATATATAGAAAATTAAAAAATAATTAAACTTTTGTTAAATAAACTCATAATATATATACTAACTTTATTTGTTAAATCAAAATATTAACAAATTAATATAATTATATTTAATCTTTAAAATAAACAAATCTTTATTTATGGTTAACACTCCACAGGTCAGATCACAAGATACCAGTTCAACTTCAGGTAAAGGCAATTGAATAGAATCAATATGGTATTTGATACCATAACCTATAATATGCTGTTTCTCATGAGAAGCTATTTCATATACTAATCTAGTGGGTGTTGAGATTGTAATCTCCAGAAAAGGTGTAGTGGTGCGATGATCATCTGGTTGATGCTACAATGATTGCCGGAAGTTGCAAGGTGTATGAGGTGTCTGGTTTAGTATAAGATGGTTTAGCGAATTGCTTTCTATAATATCTGATATCTTTTCTGCAAAAGGTTACCTGAAAGTTTCATCCCAATTCAGTAAAAAGTCCACCCCTGTATTGCTTATCCCAAGAAGGCATCTAATATTTCCAAGTAGCTGCAAGACTGCTGTAGATTGTAAATCTATAGTTGTAAGTACCTTGAACATCCCTGAGCCATAACAGGAAGGCAGAAATTAAATGGTTAAAGGCTAGCTGCAGATGGTATAGAGTAGTAAGACCAATCTTGATTAGGGTTTTATTCATCAGAAAAAAGTATTATCCCCAGTTTCCCACTTTTCCTTTCCCTTAAAAACATATCCTCAAATAAAACCTAATTTATATATGTGGCATAAATTATTTTGCTGTTAACTCAATTCCCAAAATCTTTAAAAATAATTGCGTCATGACTCAATTATTTATATGTTTTAATAGTGACTCAATTAATTGCGTTAAATAATTGCGTCAATTGCGTCAAAAATCTACAAATTTCAGCAACATGTATAACCTAAATGCGCAGTAATATTCTCACACTAGTAGAGTCTTGGCACATTAGTCTTGATCCCTTTGCTATAGTCCAGGCTATAGTATAAATCAATAACTCAAAATCAGCATGGAGGTAAAATCTCGATGTAGTTCGATATATAGATATGATAGATATTATAGTGTTAGCATATATTCAATATATGTAATAATTTGCAAATCTTTAGAATAATAAAGTATACCGAGCATGGCTTCAATTAGTGTACAATAAAAAAACAAAACAAATCTTAATTTATAATAAGTAAAAAATATTTTTTTTAAATATAATAATCAAATTACTAATTTTATAATAACAAACTAGCTTATATTTTTGATACAAAAAAATATAATTTCTTAAATTTTATAAAATTATTATTATTTTTTTTTTAGTTAAGTAGCATTAGATGCAAGTCTTTATTGATATTATATATCTGTTACAATACATCAAACATCTTCTGTAACAGTTACACTACAGCTTAATGCTAGCCTATCAACTGTTTTTGCCTGTTAATACTAATTTGACACTCTTGAAGTATTTTTTTACATCTTCGAGAGGACCTATCTAGAGAAGGAATTTCTATCACTAGTTTAAACCATCTAACCTATCAGTCCAATTTTTGTGCAGGAACAATGAAGATAATGCTAGCTATCCTTATAAGTAACTTATTGCATCACACTTTTTCGATACTCAGTTAGGGCTCCTAACAATATCACTTCAATACCACTTCGATACCAGTTTGATACTTAAATTTACTATAAAAACATATAAGTAGGTCACAACCCATATATTAAATTTACTATAGATCGGTACCATTTCGATACCAGTTCGATATTAGTTTGGTACTTTTTCAGAGCCCTATACTCAGTTACCATGGCAAAAGGGCCTTTACGTTGATCTGCACTTCCTAATGAATGCTTTGAATCTTTTTTATCCTCTGGTTGGCTATCAGCTACCAAACCTAGGAGTTCTTTTTTTTAACCAATTGGGGTGCAAATCCGCAAGAACTATACAAGCCAGACTGGTGTAACCACCATACTCCCAAGGTTCCTATCTCCTAATAGACATATCCAGAGGGCTGGTTGATGTTGGCTGCCAAATCTAGGGGCATGAATGCCAAGCAAGGTGCAACTTCTACAGACATGGTAAGCCATTAGGGGTTTATATCACACAGTACGTCAATATCAGGAAAGTATATTCCTTCAAAGTTGTCTTATTTAAAAGCTGGCAGAATGGAAATATTACTTGGGTTGGTTAAAATGAAGCACAGTCCAGTCTGTACATTCAAATGTATGGTTGGTTTAGGTTATTGTCAGATGATCATCAGATCACTTCCAGATGATCATTCTGCCACACAATTTTCTTGAAGATCACAATTCCAATATCCCACTGGATCAGCATGCGAGTGACTTTCCATAAAAAACAAGGCTTAACAGGTTATGACCCCAGATACCATTTTTAATTTAGTTCAACTGCCTTTACCTGGAATTGAACTGGTATCTTGTGATCTGATCTGTGAAGTGTTAACCATTACATTATGGATTCACAGGTCTAATTTTATAAATTATTAAAAAAACTAATGATGTTTTTTATATATTAAACTTTTTTTTTGAAGTTTTTTTATTATTATTTTATTTTATTTTTTTTAGTGGAACATGCGCACAGTGTGTAATTTTTATTGATACATTTATATATTCAGATAGACACCAAGTATCTTTACAAATTAATTGACGATCAATTGGTACAGGATACCTTTTATGTCTCTGCAGTTAATCTGCAAGTTAATACTGTCTAGTACATATATTACTATAAGACTAGCTACGCTAATTATTATTAACCAACTATGTATTCATTTAAACACCAAGGAGATATGTTTACATGTCAGGTAAAACTTTCACAGGAGAGGAAATCCTATCACTAGTTTAAACCCACCTAAATCTGCTAATCTATTATTGCAGAGAGCAGTATGTATGGAATATTATTATAGAGATTAATCCTAGAATTTCAATCTTCTGTTATTGCTGATCCTCGAGATGTGCCACTAGCATAGTGTTGCACTACCATTTTCATCACCTGTGGAACTGGCATTCTTGCTTAGATTTCGATTTAATCTTATAGAACCTTACTATACTCATTTGGCTTAACGATTTTTGTCTAGCCTTCTCACTACCTGTGGCTGATACCTTGCCCTTCGGTCATATGATTAAGTTCTGTAAAACACCACTATTGGGATAAATTTACAAGCTCCATATTGGAATAGATTAGCTTAGAATTAACCTCATGTTGTGTGATGGAATCTGCTGTCACCAGTTTGGATTAGAATTTTGTGGACTTATTACTGGAGTTAGACCAGAAGTCTTTCCTCATGCAACCTTTCTTGCTTCAACCTGTTTTTAGCTTGCAATTGTTAGGAAAACCAGAGGTCCTATCTTCATGCAACCTAATTAAATTTGAAAAATTGATTGTTTGTTAGCTGATTGGGTATGACATGAATTGAAAGTCAGTCAATCAATCATAAAGGTGATAAATTTTTTTGTAACCAGGTGGGATTGAACCCTAGACCTTCTCCTGGTGACTTATGGAGCACTACTACTATGCTATGGACCCATAGATCTGTTTTATTATTATTATTATTATTATTTTTTATTGCAAACAAGCATTAAATACAAGACTTTATTTAAATAAAAATATTTACTGTCATTACATTAACAATCTTTATATAGTAAATTAATTGTAGCCTATCGCAACAAAACTATTGGAACCAGTTTTTTTATTATTATTAAAGATTTTGAAATAAAATTATATATATAAACTTTTAAAATTTTTCAAAAAGTTTATATTTTATATTAAATTTTAATAAATTTATTTAATTAAAAATTTAATTAAGCAAATTAAAATTTTATAAAAATTTTTTTTTAATTATTATTATTATTATTTTTTTTTTTTTTTACAAAATAAGTAAATATTATTACTTTATTATATTATAAAAGCTTTAAATTTTTACATAAAAAAAGTAATAATATCTTTTATATAATTAATTAACCAATAAGTCAGATATTAAATTATTTATAAAAAACTATTTAAATAATAAAAAAAAACAAATATTAAACTCATTATATATTAAAATAATATTAAGCAGTTATAAATATCCACTTAATATTATATGTAATAAGACTTAAGAAAATAAAAAGAAAAAACAAAAAATATTAAACAAAAAAAAAACAACAAAAAAATTAATTATAATATAAAGAATATCTAATAGATATACTATTAT